GAGAGAGAGAGAAGAGAGAGAGAGAGAGAGAGAGAGAGAGAGAGAGAGAGAGAGAGAGAGAAGAGAGAGAGAGAGAGAAAGAAAGAAAGAAAGAAAGAAAGAAAGAGAGAGCGAGCGAGAGCGAGAGCGAGAGGGAGAGAGAGAATGAGAGAAAGAGAGAAAGTTGAAATATAGAGGAAGAAATCGTCGAGGGCAGGCTGTGCGTGATATAGCGATTGATGGTGTGAAAGGGGAAAGAGAATGATAGCGCGTGAAACGAGAGACAGGATGCATCTTCGCCATGGTGAAAACAGGGAAAAGACGGAAATATGCGATGGAGAAACCGGAAGAAGCGGAAGAAGATTATTGAGCGACACGCAACAAAGTTCGAGGGAAAAAAAATCGCACTCACATCGGCGACTTAGAGGGCACCCGACATATTGTTTCGCTCGTATTTCCTTCGCGGTCCTTGGTTTTCCTTTTTCCGTTTACATCTGTACAATCGAGACGTCGTTTTATGTTGTAACGAGGAACTGCACATTTTTAACATGATTTTGATACTACGCGCACAAGGGCGCTTACAAGCACACGAGGAGACACGTTACACACGAATACACGCAAAGAAAGAGGACATTTACACCACGTATACGTATATACGTACCATGGAACATACGAGATAAAGTATATACAGTAAGTCGAAACGAGATGTAAGTGATATATTAATCTAGAGTATAGAGAATGCGTTTGTGTAAATTCGGCGTTTGTTCGAACATACTACTTCTCCTTACGAGAGAGAACACTTACGAAGCCTATCGTAATTTTTATGATAATCATTAAAGTATCGCCTAATTACAACTTACGAGACACACAACTTACCACCCGGAACGGTACCTTTTTCAAGTTTTCATACGATGTTTCTACGTTTCTACGTTTATACGGATCTCCAGAAGTAAAAAAAAAAAGAAGAAGAGTATAATTATTATCTACGAGAAGCTTTTTTTATTAAGATCGTAGTGTAGATCATAAAGTTGGAAACGAGAAGCGTACACACGCGTGACACGCTCCGATATGCAAAAATATCGCAGAGTGCCGAACAAAAGGTAACGAGCGTTCACCCGTGTCTCTGACCGGCATTGATTTCTAAGCGGTTACATACATATTAACGTGTAAGAGCGGGAAGGAAGTAAAATTAAAAGTTGTATAGTAAAACCATTCATTGAATATATCTGTCCGCAATGATCTTTACAACGAAAAAGCCATCTTCTTGGAGCGATGATACATTTTGGCGACGAGAGCGAACTTTTTATCGAAATTCTTCGAAACCGACCCGAGACTGATATCTATGCACTCACACCATTCTCTAGCAATCGTCATCAATCTGAGGCGCCATCGAGGCAAACCTCGCTCGTTTATTTATTTTGCGCCGGAGACTACAAAATTGTGAATGAGACCTTTGGATCGAAGTCGCCTCAGACGCGAAAGTACAGTCTCCAATATCTTCGATCAGCAGTTATAATAGTAACTAAACTATTCTACATTTATCTATAACCTATAATAAACTGTGAAACAAAGTGTACCAGCGGCGAGTATTTATTTCATCACAAGATCTGTCCTACACATTTATAATTTAATATAACAATTTTAATACAACACATAGAAGCATTATATATATATATAAATTATTCATTTTGATTTATAAAAATATCACAAAAATGCTATGTCTTATTATATTGCTTCTAAAGCATTTATTATTGTATCTAGTTCATCTTTGTTCAGTTCCAAATTTATAATACGTCGGGATTCCGTATCTTCGACTATGAGATCCAATTGAAGAAGCGATTCCCGCAAAGAAGCAATCTTGCTCGATCCCATTACCAACTATAAAAAAGTGTGATGAAGCAAATAAAGCCAATAGAATAAAAGTAAAATGATTGTTCGTATAAAATACCTTTAATCTCCAATCAAAATCTACTATAGTTGGTAGTTTCCTTTTGTAATGTTCTCTCAATAAAGCATTTGTCAGATGTTCCCTACGCACTTTTAAGCAAGTAAGAATATTTTGTTGCACTTGCTCCGGTAATTCATGGTATTCTTGTGGCATCTGAAACAATCATTTTTCTATTATAATTATTTGTAACTATTTTTAAATATTTTAATTATAATTATTTTAAAATTAAAGAGACATTAAATATATCTTGGCTGATTTATATTACATTGT